GCCTGAGGATTCCATCCCTCCAATCCTACCTCTGGTGCTGAGTAGCTTGGTCTTGAGGCTCTAGTTATCCTTCTTGTGGTTAGCCTGCACCTCCTCGCCGCTTCACATTAATTCTCATGTTTGGGTTTGGTCCAACTCCTGTTTGGTACAGTTCTACCAATGGCTATCAAACTCTTTCCACGGCTGGGTTTCTCTATTTATAGTGTTTTGGATGGGTGACTCGGCTGTGTGCTTGTTGTGTGTGTTGCTAGTGTTGTCATTGCGTGAGTCTTCGGTGCTGGTGGTGTTGACGGTAGCTGCTTACTGTTGTCAATCTCTCCTTGATGCCTATCTTGTAAGCTGCTGGGTGGCTAATTTCTTGGGTACTTGGTCCTGGCCGGCTGGGTTTGATCTATATCTACTTATGGCTTTATTCTGATGCTGAACAGTGGCTCATATCAATTGTCACTTAACAGGAGATATGCCACATACTAATCCTAACCCAACACTCTCTAGTGCTTACGTTTGTAGGTTTTGAAGAAAAGAAGAAGAAGATCAAGATCTTAGCTAGGATAGTAGAGGAAGAATAGATAATTTAGCCTAGGTTGTCTTTCCTGAATTCTTTTGTAACACAATAATATATTATTTTATTAATTATTTCCGTGTTTCATATGTAATATAAATTTTTAATATTTATCCAATTATCGATAAAGCTTTAATTCTCTTTATTGTTCAAAGTCTATATTAAATGCAATTCCAATTCATAATTGATTGGAAATTATGCACTTAAATCCTTTTATATTAATTGAATTATTTGAACCCAAAAGTCTAAATAAGAGTAAAGCTCATGTCCAAATTATTTGAAATGCAAATTTAACTTAGTAATTTGAATGTAGGTTTGATTTGGTTTTGAGATGCAACTTGATAATAACCCCAACCTATATGCATGAATGCAAAGCACAATCGAAAAAAATCCCCGCTCTCTTAAACTACGGGTCATTAAAATGGAAAAAAATCTTTCTTTGTTGCCATTAGACCAACCCCAAAGTGTGAGGCATTTGGTTTTTAATAGACTAGAGACACAACTTTTTGGCCTAAATACTCATGGCGCAACATGATTGGCCAAACATCATCCTCAGTAAGTAGTTTGAAGTTCGAACAACCATTTACTAAGAAATCATTCTTGACCTGCACGTCATGAATGTCAAGTTCATCCTCGATCTTTTGCCTACAAACCACACTTCATTTGGCCAGCCAACACTTTTGCTTTTCGCTATCTTCTTGCCCAAAGAGTCTGGATCTGGAATGGTCCAGTCTTCACCAGACCCCTTTTGGGAGTTAAAAAAACAAAGAATATAGAGAACAATATTTGTGAGGAGGAAATTGATCAAGACCGTCGTCCTCCAACAGAGAGCAATTTTTTTCCAACTTCTCAACTGTTAAGTGCTCCTCCTTATGTTTCCACTCCCATTAGTGAGATGATAATAATGAATCAGAATTCCAAATATTTTATCAAAAACTGGCCTTTTCCACAACCTAATAGGTAAGTGTAAATCAGTTGCGCTCACTGGCTTCTCCAAGGCAGAACAATTCACTTTTATGAAAGTTAATTTTGAGGCACGACACTTGCTTAAATGTTGAAAGCAAGAGTTTTGCATTTGGAACCTTATCCAGTTCATCTTTCATACAAAGAATAGTATCATCAACATATTGCAAAATAAAGAGGCCACCATCCATAAGATGTGACACTACTCCTGCAGTTTGACCGTCATGTTTGACCCGATCAATCAAAATACCCAACATGTTAGCAACAATATTAAATAACACTTGAGATATAGGGTCACCCTGACATAGACTTTTTTTTGTCTGAAAGCAATGGCATATGTCATTATCGATTTTGACAGCCACACTACCTCTACTGACAAAATTCTGGATCCACTAGCACCATTTATTGGAGAATCCTTTCATTCTTATGGGCTGATGAAGGGGCGACCATTTAACCTTGTCATAGGACTTTTGGAAGTCAATCTTGAAAAAAACTCCACTCATGTACCCTCTTGGTTCAACCTCCTAAAAAATCGCCCAAAATTCTTGGCTCTAAACAAAGATTTGTGAGGGTGAATATTGTTGGGTGTCAACTCTAGGCCACCAGACATCTCAGTGCCAGTCAACATTTTCTGCGTCTTTGGACATGGCCGAAGAAATGTCACGGATGAAGCCTCGAGTGCATATCCAAGTATCCAATCCTCCCCTCGTGTCACCCTCCCGAGGGTGACTTAGGGCCGCCCTCCCTTCATCCGCCGCCACCCTCCTTCAGATCTCCCCTCCTCACTGCCGTCGAAGACAGTCGCAGGGTTTCCTGCGCGACCGCTGATGAGGGCGGCGACGGGGTTCTAGATCACTCTGCCGTTGTGCAGGAGGAAAGGGTTTGGGGCAGCGACCTTCGGTGTGGTGGGCCACTTTTGCCCGGTCATGTGGGCAATGGGCTGGCGGTGGATTTGAGCGGCTGGTGGTTGGCTCCCCGTGGTTGTCCTGCTCTAGATGTGAAGACGCCTCCTTCGGCATGTGTTCTTCCTCTCCCACGCCTTGTCTGACTGGATCCAGTGGTCAGGGTCGTGGTGGTAGGGTGCAGAGCCCTAGATCGGGGTAACCACTTGGCCGCCGTCGGCGGCCACATCGGCGATGACGCTCCTGGTGCCGCTCCCCTTACTGAAGGAAACTATGAGGTCCATCTCCCTCCCCACCTCCTTCCTTGCTCTCGGGTGAAAATCCACAACCCTTGGTTGGGAGGTGGCGGTGCTTCCACACCTCCTCCTTCTTGAAGGCGTTGTTTTGGGTTTGTGGTAACAAGGGTAGTATGCAACAAGCTTTTGGTGTTCCTATTGGCGGCGGTTCCTTCTTCCAGCGGTGACTCCCCGCCGTGGAGGATTGGTGTTCTCCTCAAGCCGCTTCACTTCCGTCTCTGCGCGGTCCGGTTTGTCCGGTGGGTCGACGCCCTTGGCCTGGGCGAGAGGGGATAGTGTTCCCCTCTACGGCGAACTGGTCGCGTGGATGGAAGTGTGTCATTGGTCTTGGCGTGGCTCGGCCCTCCTGGTGGCTTTGTTGCCCATTGCTCAACGTGTCTTCGTGAAGTGCTCTGGTCCTTTGGCTAGAGTCTGCGCCTTGCTCCTCGTGCGTGGGATGCAATTTGTGTCCTCATGTGTGTTGGAGTGGTTGCCATGTGTTTCAGGTGTTCTTGATCGCTCTGATGAGAGCAGCTCCACTCTGCCTTCCGTGCGTCGACGACGAGCTTCTTCCTTTGACGCACCCCCTTTAGCCCATGTTAGGTCTTTAAGTTGTATTGTTTTTCTTCTTTGGTTGTAGATTTTAGCCTGAAGGGGAGCCTTGGCGCAGTGGTAAAGCTGCTGCCTTGTGACCATGAGGTCACGGGTTCAAGTCCTGGAAACAGCCTCTTGCAGAAATGTAGGGAAAGGTTGCGTACAATAGACCCAAAGTGGTCGGACCCTTCCCCAGACCCTGCGCAAGCGGGAGCTACATGCACTGGGGCTGCCCTTTTTGTAGATTTTAGCCTCCTTAGCATCATGTATCTGCTGTCTTGGGGTTGCATCCCCGTTTTTCAATCACGTCTTTAGTTTTACATTATACTTTTGTAGTCTTAACCGATTGATGCCTTTGTCCAGTCAAAAGTCAGGATGAAGATCGAGACCTATGGCGTGTTTGGGTGCCTGGATGAGGCCCAACCGGGCGCGCGTGGGAAGGAAATGGGCTGTTTGGTTGACTTCATACACTGTTGGACCTGCATAGCATAAAACTTAAAGCACCTCTGGGCCTGGCTAGCTGGAAACACTCAGATCGGCAGTTTCTTGCGAGCCAGGCCGAGGCGAGCGCAAACGAGCGGGCCCTTGCATGAGTGGAGACGGGAGGGATGCGAGGTGATTACGCGAGGTCTTCTTCAACCTCCAGTAAGCTTCTCTCTAATCTCCTCTCTTCCTTGTCCCTCTGATCTACACAACAGTGCTCCGATTCTAGGTAAGCTTTACACGAAAAAGATGCACCTCGATGCTACGGTTCCATTCAGGCGATCGGTTCATAGTTTCATCGGCCGGAAGTTCTTTATAACATTCGTGTTGTAAGTTTTTGGTTTCGACGATCGTAGCTTCATCTCTCCTTTATCAGCAGTCTAGTGTACTCACGCCGCCATGTCGAGCTCCTCTGTCCTCTGCTCAGAGCCCTCCTATTCGTCCCTCTCGACGCCGACGCCCTTCCCCTTGATCTCCTTGCCCGCGTCCTACTACACTAGAGTCGTTTCTGGCGTCACTCATCTCGGCCTACTCTCTGTCGTCCTCCTACTGCACTGACGCTGCAATGGCGCACACACTGCAGTTTGTCGCGTTGTCGACGGGGTCGATCATCTTGGCCTCCTCTCTCTCGCCCACTACACTGGAGTCGTTTTCGGCATCGATCATCTCGGCCTACTCTCTCATCCTACTACACGGACGATACCATGGCGCGAGCACTGCATTCTCCTCCTCTGTCCACTGTCTTTGCGTGAGCACTGCAACTAGTTCGCTGACGGTGTCGCTCGACGTGCTGCCGACGGGTCGCTCGCCCACGACTCCATGCTCGTCATGTCGGACACGACGTCACGACCACTATCCACCGCAGCGGCGCACACTGCATTTCTTCTCTTCCTTCCTCTGCTAGCTCTTAACCCTGTGTGCTAAGTGCAAGCGCTAGCTATTAATCATACCCCATGCGGGCAACCAAACAGTGTGTAGTTGTATGCGACGAGACAATGCAGGCAACCAAACAACGTGCCAAAATTGATTCCCTAATGCAGGAAGTCCATATGCACACAACCAAACAACTTGCAGATGTCGCATATAAGATTGTTTTTCAGAGCCAGACGCAGATACTGCAGGCGACGGTAACCAAACACGCCCCTAGGATCGGTTCGATCCTTTCATCTAGAAAGAAATGTCGCGGATTATTATAAAAAGGAAAAATCACGGGATCCATGGATGCGTCACTTGTTGACTAGGTTGACTCGGACGGAGCCACACCAACCACACACACTTCCCCTCGCGCTTCCTTCTCCTCCGCCTCCTCGACCCGATCCCACTCGCGGCATCCTCCGCCGCCGCGGAGCGATGGCAGCCCGCTCCCCTTACTTCGCCCCCGAGGAAGGCGCCCGGTGCATCCGCCCAGGGGAGTCACCTGCCGCGGCGCTCCGCCGGATCCTGGCGACGCCAGGCGCCCACCAGGCGCCCTGCTGCTTCGACGCGCTCGGCGCCCGCCTTGTCGAGCGCGCGGGGTTCCCGATCTGCTTCATGGGCGGTGCGTGGTCGCTTTGCTCCCTCTCACGCTTCTCGCATGTTCTTTGTTCCCCCGGCTGTGTTCGTGCGCGGTCGTTGTAGTAAAACCCTTGTGGGGTTTAAGTTTTTGTTGGAACGATCGGCTGGAGAATAAAAGGTCCTTCGTCACCCCGGTAGTAGTAGATCTAACCAACCGTGCACTCCCAAGTGTTCCAGTTAACTCACGGTTTGACATATTCTCCTGGGAAGATGAGAATTACCCTATCCATTGTTGAAATTATTTGCTCACTGGAAGGAGGGATAGTCCATATATCACCCTTGATTACCAGCATAATAAAGATGTGAATTAAAGTTCATCTGGACGTAACTTGCATTTTGCTAACAATAGTTAAGCTGGCAATTTCTTGTCATGACACATGACAAATATTGTATATAGCTGTGCAAATAATTAAAATTGGACGCAGAGCCGACTTGAAGAGTAACTATGAAAGAACAATTCTAGCTCAGAAAGTTAAAGTGCAAATGTTTTTCCAAGTATTTGTTCTCGGTAAATGCTGCTTGTTTTGGTGTTTAACTAGAACTTTGTGTCCTTAAATGTAGTTATTAATATCTGTTATGCTGATTTGTTGATGAAATAAACCGCTATGGAAATTAAGAGATTTTAATGGCTTTTTACATACTGATCTTTTCCAGGGTTCTGTGAAAGTAACTTTTGGTGTTTGCTGAAGGTTTTTCATGCATTGGAGTCCTAATATATGTTCTCCATTCAGGTTTCTGTGTTTCTGCCTCACGACTTGGATTGCCAGATGTTGGATTAATCTCCTATGGAGAAATGGTTGATCAAGGGCGTCTAATCACCGAAGCAGTTTCGGTTCCCGTGATTGGTGATGGAGACAATGGTTACGGAAATTCTATGAACATCAAGAGAACTGTAAAAGGATATATTAATGCTGGGTTGGCTGGAATCATGCTTGAAGATCAGGTACTCATAGATTTCCATACATTTTCTCCTCCACTTGTCAAAGTCACTGCTCTTATTTTTCAGATAGATTCGGTAATTATTTTGAATGTTTTGGTGAGTAATCTTATGAGTCTATCATAATAGGCTGTAACTCCTTAATTTGAAACTGAAATAATTTCGATCTTATTTCTTTCTACTAAAAGTTGCTAGGCTTAAGGCATTAAAAAAACGTTGTTCCCCAGAACTGCAGCAATTTATCAGTTCCTTGTTTTTTTAATGTGGTATTCAGTGTGTCTTTAGAGTGTACAAAACTAAATATAAATAATTGTTTATTTTACATCATATGAACGGGAGGTGTTCTTCTGGCTGATGGTAGTGAGTGATTAGGATTCAGACTCCCACTCCATGGTGCTCAATTATGGGAATGTACTTGTAGGATCCATCCTTAAAAAAATTGAACTGAGAACTTTAATCTCATTCATTGGACATGATTCTTACAATGCAAATTTTTTTGGGCATATTTGGATAGTGCAAGGTAAGATAGTTTTCACAAAAATCTCTTCAGTACCGTATATCATAATGCAGGGCAGAAGGGTAAGAAAGTAATGTTTTGGAGTAGCGCTGATTTCCTTTTGTAAGATATTTGCAGCCATTGGAATTCCAAATGAATCATTTGATCCAGTGATAAATACTTCTCTTTATATCTTTGTGTGTTTAAGCAGACATTGATTTCATTTTATTTCAGAGTTTCCTTACTTTCTATATCAAAAAAGATGAACAGAAGACTTGTGTAATTGATCTTCCGCCTTCTAAAATTTTCATTAATTGATACGATGCATAACATATTGAAGGTGGCACCAAAAGCATGTGGACACACTGAAGGAAGGAAAGTCATCTCGAGGGAGGAAGCGGTCATGCACATAAAAGCTGCTATAGACACTAGGAAGGAGAGTGCCTCTGACATTGTTATTGTGGCGAGGACAGATTCCCGTCAAGCTGTTTCTCTTGATGAAGCATTATGGAGAGTTCAGGCTTTTGCTGATGCTGGAGCAGATGTTCTATTTATTGATGCCCTTGCTTCAATAGAAGAGATGAAGGCATTCTGTGCGGTTGCACCTGGGGTACCAAAGATGGTAAGATGATCCACCTGTGTTTGTTCGTCATACTCGAGTTAGTCATTCAAGAGTTATGATTGTACTCACATCCATTGAGATCACCTAGGATAACATTTTGATTTATATAGTTTTGCTTCGGTAACAACCCCCTCCCTCCTCCTTAAAAGTTTGCATGAATCTTAAAGTTACTTTAAAAGGCTATCGCCATATTAGCCTACAGGTCAAACGTATTGAGTAGATTTTGGATACAAATGACTATTATCCTTTTTTATTGAAGGGGTACCTTCTAATCTCAACCTTCAATCTGCATCAAAATCCGTAAACTTTTCTAGGGCGGTGTACCAAAGCAAAGTTCTTATTTATATGCTTGGTGCTAACCTTTCAATCCATTCTGGTATGCCAATGAATTTGATTAGGATACCCAAACAAGAAATGACTTGTTTTAGTATTTTCCTATATTTACCAAGTATGCAAATGTTTACAACTAGAGGAGTAGGAGGGATGGTGTCATCTGTGGCTCTAACTACATTTATGCTTGTGATTACTTCTCTTGCTAATATTTCTGTACGAATGATGTCTGCTTCTGAACGTTCTGTTTTCAATTCGCCTGTGAATTCGTTTTTTCCCCCTCTCTAGTACTTAGATGAGGACATCAGATATTATACCCTGTGCTTTGTTCTGCAGGCAAACATGTTAGAAGGTGGTGGTAAAACTCCCATATTGACCCCTGCTGAACTCAAGGAGATTGGTTTTAGCCTTGTAGTCTACCCGTTGTCCCTAATTGGGGTGGCAATGCGTGCAATGGAGGTTTGTTCTTTACATATGAAGCATGTTCCATGATTTATATACAGCGTTCTCTTTTCAGTTTCCGACGAATTTAAATACATGATGCCATGATGGTAACATCCTCTAATATTGCCTTGAATTATTTTCAATGTTTTTACAACTATCCCAGTTCTATCCAGTAACTTAAGAGATCTATCATGTTGTATACCGTGTTCCTTGAAATTTTGCATAGAACATAAGTGCAAGAACTTGTTTATTGAGAAGCTGCATGCAAATTGTATACTGCACCGCAAAGGGGAAATCAGGGACGACCATAGCATCTTTCAATGCATGTAGATATTCTACAACCATGTGAATGCCAGTAACTGCCATAGGTAGCTGTTCAATTTGGAGTGTGAAATGCTACTTTTTTATTCAAAGCACATGAATATTTGATATGCAGGATGCTCTACTCGCCATAAAAGGTGGTGGTGTACCCTCACCTGCCAGCCTCCCATCTTTTCAGGAGATCAAGGATACTCTAGGGTTCAACCGCTATTACCAGGAAGATAAACAGTACACTGTCCCTCAAGCCCAACCATTGATGCCAAGTGGTGAGCCATGATGATTTCTACCATTATCCTGTTCAATGTAGACATGACTTGGCAAGCCCTGATGGTTTATTCCATAACCCTCTTCAGTGTAGACATGTTAACCCCAAGTGGTGAGCAGTGCATGGACATGGAAATACGTTATCCATGATTTTTAATGACTAATTTTTTGTCGGCATTTTACAGGTAACCCGTAGAAAGGAGCGGCCCTGTTCAATTCTCAGGAGGCATATGGAAATGGGATCCAGGTGTCCACTGAGCGATCAGTATCCATTTGCTTTCGAGAATTTGAGATTTGTACCTCTGGGCAATGAGGCAGAGCAATCGCGTTTATCTTGAGGCAGACGATTTTAGCAACTTGTAAATGAGGCGGCGTGACAAAATGTTTGTAAATGTATGCTGCTTTGGTGTCAGCAAACCTGGATTCCTTGTGTTAATTTTCAATTTCAACAAAATAAACCACCTTCGAAGTTGTTGAGAAATGTTTCTCACCAATGTATGTAGTAAGTCGAAGAAAAATAGTAAAAAATTGTCGGCATGACAGATTTATTTGGCAGCAGGACTCAAGACTTGCATCGGCAATTTTGGAGCATTAAACTGAAATGTATACAGATTTCATAGACGTTTCCACAAATCCCAAAACTACAAGCATCTTTAAACGTTATGTAAACATGTTCGCTATAGTGTAATGAAAACCGTGCTGTTACATTGTAGTGCCTGTCTGAAAAATGGAGCAATTTCTATTTGGGCCAAAGTAACACACAATGTTCTTCCTCATCAGTTCACAAAAGCTCCAGCCTGCAGGGGGGATCTTTATGTCGCATGGAGCCGATGAACCGGAAAACCAAACACAATATTTCCATTTGAGACAGCACTTACAAGTACAGCAAAACATATAACAGGACGCCGGTGTTACAAGATGGAAGGAACTAAACAGGAATGAGTAATTGCAGTTCATAAGAAGTATTTCATCCTGTTATCTCTTCTCATGGCACGGTATACAGCCTGGACCTGAACAACAACCGAAGTCTCATTAAACAAAATATCTGCAAATCGACATCTAGGTTGCAGACTAGAATACATCTGATCATAGGAAAACAGGGCGTTACCTGCTCACTTGAAGCCACACGTATTGGCCCAATTTTTACAGAAACATATTTTCCCCTAGAAGATATTTTCTGACTTACTTGGCCCTGTACAAACCAAGTTGAGATCTATATTAAGAGTCACAAAAATATTAAGGAAATATAGCAAAACAAAATATTCGACGAAGTTAAGCATTGATATAATCTAAGCAGTGAAATTAGACAGCCCCTAAAGTATGCTAGTAATACATATTATTCCAACATAACAGAACGTGTGAACCAGTTTAATACACTAACCTTTGGAATCGATTCTTGAAGAACCGATTCAACAGCATCAACCATAGAATGGACAAAATCTTCACCTCCAGTACCAATTGCTGTAAATCCTCTGTCTGTGGGATATGTATTCACCTGTCAAGTAAAACGGTAGAGTACTAAGTGATGCCTGAAGTACGATCCAAGGTTTTGGGCCTTATATTGTTCCTTCAATAATCTAGTCCAAAAACCGATAAACCAAAGCAATGCACTTGTACGTCTCTACATAATTAGCATCGACTTTTTCAGAACAGGTCCGACTGGAGTTTGATAAGACCATGGACCCTAGTGAAATTCAGTCTAGGGTTTTTAAAGATATTCTCCATTTTTTCCCTTTCCCCATAAAGTATAATCTCAAGGTTACCTTCAGTTCTGTCCACTATTACGGGTTTGCCTCAAAAAAGAAAACTTATTACGGATAATAAGGCTTTCAGCCGGATAAGGGTTGCCCTCGTTGCGAGACTTAAGCCAACACCTTATGGCATGAGCCGACAAGATGATCCTTTCTCTGTTGAGACGAAAAGGACCTATGATTTCTCTTTTCTTCCATTAAAAAAGATCTTATAAAAAAACACTGAAAAAGGACAAAGGGGGAGACGCTCTTCAACTTTCTTTCTTCCTCCAACAGGTCAGCGAAGGAACCTTTTCCAGTCTCATGATGGAGCACTCATTATTATGAGTTGCTCATGTAGAAAATGCATGGCTAGCATGGCTATGCTGACTGTAATACAGTAACAAGTCAATCTGGCTTGCCCAAATATACAATTTCATGATACCAAGAGCAAAACCTAGAATCCAACATTGACATCAAAATAAAACAAAATTTAGATTTATGGACGTTATCTCAACAAAATATCGGTAGAAAATAATTGCAGAGAATTTTCCAGGGGCCAGTTGTCCCATGTCAAGCTATTGTAAGTCATCCTGCACTGAACGATAACACAAAATATGTGATGTTGGATATTAAGAGAATACCTTCTGATCCAGAACAAGCCATTCATCACTTGAATCATCTGTAACAGTGCCACCTATGACCATATTTGTTGTGAGTGCAACCCTTCCTTTAGACTTTGCCACCTCTGCTTAAAAGGGAAAGTTTTGTACGAATTAAAACAAGGTATAACGTTACTAACTCATAATCAAGACAAAACTGTGGGCTCACTGCAAATTACCATTGAGAAGCAAACAGCAAGGGAAAAGACTGATCTCAGTGATCCTATTATGCAATGTAGCCACATACAGTGGCCTATTATGTAAACTGAAAATGTGACCATTCATAGACTTAATCGATAGAAGACACTGTCATTTGAACTCGTCCACTTGATTTTGGTGCTAGCCATGCCCTTGTATAATCTGGGAATGACAGTAAACCTCTATATCTTATTATTCTATAGATTGTCATGCAGTTTTCCTAGTGCCACTATTTCACTAATGAAGTTTTCCTCCTTTTTGTGTTTAATTAAGTCATTTTATCATGAGGTACCACATGGATGACAAATAACAAACCATTGTACCGTATTGTAATATGTGCCTGATACGGCCCCAGTACTGTATCAGCGGACTGAAATTTCCAAACTAAGTAAGAATTTCATAATACCCTGCTGATACTCTTAGTGATGCCCTGCTGATAGACCCTTGAAACTTCAAGGCCCCAAATCGCTCAAATCGGAACACACAAACAACCCAATCCCCTAAAACAAATAATATGTCCTGCTCTTCTCTTTGCTTGACTCCACCAGGTGTCTCCTCGTCCTCCACACTCAAGCATGGCCATGCAGCCTCCTTCTCCCTCCTCCTGCCACCGACTCCTCCCTCCGTCCCTCCCGACACTAAGCGATTGTTCCACCTGCTACTGCCGCCACCTTCGCACTCAAGCCAAACCGATGGCAGCGCTCTTCCTCCAACCACACACCCTTCAACCAGGACGCCGATGAATATGAGGGTGTCATGCCACTGCCGCCTCTCCTGGAATAAATAGTACACCAACAATGTGCCTCCTGCTGATCTGTTCTGTGGTGAGTGTGAAGTAAAACTTTGATTTGTTTTGTCCACTGTCCAGGCATAGGTCTTGTTTAGTCATACACTATATCTATTTTATCAACTGAAATACATATATGCTTATGGTATTGGCACATCCTTGTTTGTGGAAAATATCATACAACTTAACGTTATAACTCTATCTGCATCGCATGGTGGGGTAACTTAGACTATCAATGTATCAAGAATGCATCCGAAATTATCACAGCAAAAGCCAAGAATTAATTTAATAAATAAAGAGATGTTCTAGAAGGCATGCTCGTTTTCTCTCGTCGCAAGTAAATATTAAGTAAACCACTAGAAAAACTAGGGCAGAGAATTGTTAGCATATCAAACCAAGTCACTGAGATGAATCCATCCAATTCCATCAAAGAACAACCCCCAATCGTCGTCTAGTTCCATCAGCCCCGGGAATATAACAATCACACAAACAATCCACGGCATTCCAACTCCGATCTTGAACCAGTGAGCACCGAAACGACGACAACCACGAGCCAGCAAGCCATTAACTAGGCAAAAGATAGAGGAACAGAAGGGCGGCATGGGGGGAGCTCTCACTTGATATGGCCTCGAGCACGGCCTCCTGCGGCGGCTGTCCCTGCTCCCCGGGCCCGCCCCCACTGGAGCTGGAGCAGCAGCGGATGTTGCGGCGGCGGCGGCGACAAGGAAACGGCGCCGCCTGGGCCGACGCGGCGGCGCGGAGACTCAGGTGGTGGAGGGGGTCGGGGAGCAGCAAGGAGCGGAGCGCGAGGGCTCGGCACGCCATCGTCGCCTTCGATTCCTTCCTTAGTCCGGTCGCCGCGGCCGCGAGCAGCGAGAGAGATTCAGTGGATATTTTTCGCTTGGTTTGGGTTTGCGTCTGCAGCCGGAGTACTCCTATTTTCGTGGAAGGCCGATGAGCTTAAAACTTTCATTTCTTTTTTCTCTGCGACTTTTCGTTCCGTGTTATTTAGTTTTTTTTTAAGAAGTCACTTAGCAACTCTGGAGTGCCAACTAAAAAAAACTCTGGAGTAATCTGTTTTTTCTTTTAGAAACTATGTTTTTTTTTGTTTGAGAAATGAGAACCTTTTTTTTAGGATCGAAAAATGAGAAACTATGTTTTTTTTCTCAATGGAATGATAAAGATGGCCCAGACCAGTATCGGGACACACCTGAGGTACAGCCCACACGGGACTGGACCTCGCTGTAATGGAAGACTGGCCCAGTAAGGCCATTCTCTGCCACAAAGCGAACACCCAAGCGATGATAACTCGGCCAGCCCACTTTGAGCCTTTTACACGAGCAAGCGACCTGGTTTCGAAATCTTCTGGAAGGTTTTTTGTGTGTTTTTATCTGTTAGCCCTAACTTCACTAATATAAGATGCTCTAACTTTTTTATGAATCTAGTGTTTATTCACTAGATTCAGTCTATATGTAGTTCATATTAAAATATCCAAAACATCTTATATTTGTGAAAGAGGTAGTATGTTTTTTTAATTTTCAATAAATGCTTGGAAATTTAAAATTTTCATTTTCTTTATTTTTAAACAATATTGAAATTTCTAAATATTCATTTTTCTAGAAATGTTCACACTTTCCAAAATGTTCATTTTGTCTGTGTTTTAAAAAACGCATTTAAAAAAATATGATTTCAAAGTGTTCATGTTTTCAAAAAGATATTCAAAATTTTGATATTCCATTTTGAAAAATATATTCCAAGAAAAGGTATTTTTAAAAGAAATGTTAGGAATTTCAAAATATTGGAATATTCCAAAAATGTTCGTGTTTTTAATAAATAATTGTTTTTTTCAAAACAAATTAATAAATGATTATCAAGTTGTTTATGTGTAGTGAGAGTTGGCACAGGACAATAAAGGTGAGCAATCCCTGCATGGAGGAGTTCAAGTGTTCAGTGGTGAAGCATCTATTGAACATATAATCAAAGAGGTAGAAATACATAAAAAGGCAACTAGTATTGTCGTTGCACTGGCACATACAATGTATAACATGATCCGAATTTTTCTCGTGCCTAACCTCTCTAACACAAACAAACCGACAATTTACTTTCAGTGTTTTACTTTTATTCTATTTACTTCATTCCAACTTCTAGTTACTTGTTTCCGTCACCGCACTAATCCTTGCAGATACCAAAACAGTTAATTCACTTTCGTCACCGCACTAATCCTTGCAGATACCAAAACAGTTAATTCACTCAAGACCTATGACAGCTTGTGTGCGAAAAAAAACACTCATCTCCGCTCTTTGTTGGGATACACTATTTTGGGATACTTACTCGAATGTGCTACATAGCCCTGTGTGTCTTGTAGGCCTAGGGTGCACAACTCCTTTGACAAGGATCTGTCACACTTCCTCTAGCATGCGGTGAACGGGCACCAAAAATACCATATGGTCAAGTAGGCGGATATCTGCTTGCTTAAGGACCCGGGGGGGCTCTATTTATTCTCACCTCCCATCGCATGAATGTGGCCCTTATGTTGAGATGAGTTTGAGAAATTCTCAAGGAGGATGGTGGGTTGTGGCTGTAGCTTATCAAACAAAGTACCTGTAAGGGTCGTTTGTGCTCGCTTATGAGGGTAGGAAGGGGTTCTGATTTTGGAAGTTAATTGAACGGATCAAACATGAGATTCAACTTGGGCTCTTTGTCTCCGTAAACAATGGAGATGGGATCCTCTTTTGGCTTTCATGAGCGCAGATCTCCACTCTGCGTTGTTCATGAATATATTTGCTATCTACTCACACCTAATGATTTTGGTTTCCTCGGCCCTCGCAGTTTCTGAGAACCCAGGCCAACCATATGAGGAGGAGGCATTGCCTTTTCTGGATAGTGTTCGGGCAATGACCTGTGCACTTTGGACTGCGGGAGCTATATCTCGCTTAGCGCGACTGCTCCTTCCTTCTCACCTAAAGCTTCGCCCCCCACACTTCCACCACTCGGCCAGCCCATTTCCACTATTTTTTTTTCAATTCAGGGGTTTCGTTCAGGTTCACAGAGTTTCGTTCGGTTTCAGTTTCATTTATGTGGGTTTCTTCTCCGGTTTTGGCCTGTTTTTTGTATTTTTTATCTATTCACCATTTTTTCTTGTTTTCTTTTTCTTTCTTTTTTGTTTTCTTATGGTTTTTCCTCACTTTTATTGTTTGCAATGTTTTTTTCTTCAGTTTTCTTGTTTCCCTTTTCTCTTCGATTTTTTGTTCCTTTCTTTGGTTTTTTATTTCCTTTTTATTTATTTTTCTCTGTTTTTTTGTTTCTTTCTTAGTTTTCATCAATTTTATTTGTTTTTCTTTGTTCTGTTTTATTATTTTATTTTTCTTCATTTCCTGAAGGATTTTCACGGTTTTCTTTGTTTATGTGGTGTTTATTTCATTTCTTTCTTTTGTTTCTTCAGTTTTCATGGTTTTTCTTTGTTTTTTCGTCAATACATGTCTATATTTTTCATACACGTTTGTACATTTTAAGTATACAATAGGAACATGTTTTTTTGTACATGTTTAATATTTTTTAAATACATTATTACAATTTAAAAAAATTAATGTTTGATGATTACTTTTTTCAAGCGGATTGTATATTTTGTCATATATCAGGATCATTTTTAATAGAAGTTTAATTCTTTTAAGTGTGTGATTAATACTTCGTTTTATACACAATCATCATTTTTTTTGAAATTTATGTTTTTATGCTCATTTTGTTTCTTACACATTCTACATCTTTCGTATACATCAGGAATTATTTTTTGTACCCATTTAATATTTTTGAAATAGATGATTAACTTTTTTTCATACACGATCAACATTTTTTAAAGTTTATGTTTAATTTTTTTAATACATGTTCTACATTTTGGGTATACATCATAAAAAAAATTGTACACGGTTAATATTTTATAAAAAAACATATATTTTTAATATCTACTCTTTTCCAAAAACATTAGACATTTTTTTATATATCATGAATGTTTTTTATATACATGTTTAACATTTCTCAAATAAATTATTAAAAGGTTTTTAAAACTTATTGTCTACTTTTTCCGTACTCATTGTACTTTTTTATACATATTGTATTTTTTTTCTAAACACATTTAATCCTTTTCAGATGCATGATCAACATTTTTGAACAATTTATCTAAAGTATATTTTTGTAATATATACATTTACAATATTTGTAAGTATAAACAAAAGTTAAAAAGGTTAAAAATGAAAAAGAAAAACTGAGGAAATGGACTCTGGCGCGCCTGGGCCGGCCCAGTTTGGCGTTGCTTGAGGCGTGAATACCATTGAGCTCGCGTCGAGCGAGGTATAGGCGTGCCCCCCTTTGGATAATTCATACCAAGATGGTTCTTGAGAGGGTCTTTTTGCGGCGGGCCACTAATTTGATATTCAAATTTTGGGTCTTTTTGTAACACTGACACCCGCTTTCTAGATAACGGGACAAAAATCTGTTAGGCGACATGATGGATGCTCTGATTGCGGCAGGGCTCCACCTTGCTCCGCCTCTTGGCCATTGATCTCTCGTTCACTTAGTGGCTTTCTTTTCTTCTTTGTAGGGCATGTTTGTGTTGTTTCCCAGTTAACTTATCTTTATTTTTCTTGTAATTGAATTTACTATATGAATGTGATGGTTTGCTCTATATATAAAGCGGGACAAAATCCTGTTTTGTGTGCACTATTGTCACCCAAAAATTCAAGCTACAAACTGGTAAACTGGATTCGTAAAAATCAACAAAAAGCGCCATAAGTTCACCTTGATGACACCCCAAAAATCTAATTAAATTCATTCAGGAAATCATCATGAACAAGAGATTTATCATTTTTCACCTAGAGAACCGTTTTCTTGGTCCCTTTCTCCGTGAATCCTGCAATAAGAGGATCATTTTATTCCGGGATATTCGTGGTATATCCTCACATCTCTGCTCATCCAGGAAAGCCCGGCTAGCTTCATGTGGGCTAGAAAGGTCTATGTAATATTTTGTACTCTAACTATTTATTTTTAGTACAGTCGCTCCCCTTCACATTTGTATAGCACTGCGACTGCACTGCGTCCGGAGCGGACTGCCCAATGCGATATATGACGAGCCATATTTGACAGATGCTGCCTACTACCCACGGACAGTTCTAGCTAGGTTGAGAGATACACACGAAAAGCCTGAGACAGTGTAAGGTCAGCGACTCCCGATCCTTTTGTATGGCATGAGTAGCTCAGCCTGAACCCCTCAAACATTGACAACACATCACCGTGCACACGAACCCATACAGAAATTTTGATGTGCATGTGCCCAAAGCGGTGCCTTTGAAGCAGTGATTTCCCTGAAAGAGGCAAAAGCAAAAGGTGAGGTGAAAGAAAAAGGGAAGGAGGTAAACACTCCAAGATGGAAGTGGGCAAACTCCTTTTTGGCTTAAGAGGTCGATGATGCGGGCATGGTAGCCAATGCTTCTCCTTCTCTTCTGCTAGGGTTGCTGAAGATGGTTGATGTTGCCATCATGCATAGATCATTGCCCTAAAGGAGTTGGTCTTTATTTGCCCTGCTCACACCACACATGTGATCCTCGAGACGTGGATGATTAGATAGTACGTAGCATTATCATTTGGATTTGGAGTAAGTATTTTTTGTAGTATTACTAGTGAGTGGAAAGCACAAGGACCAAAAAAAGCTGACCTAAGGTAGAGTTCACATTACATGCATGCATACATGGTGGGCAGCCTCTGCCTCTGCCTCTGCCCTGACATGCTCCATGTCTCCCAGCCTTTTCTCCCGCATAAAGCAAACCCACACACTC